GGATAGATGCACTTTTATCATGGATAGAAGCACTTTTATCATGTATAGATGCACTTTTATCATGGATAGATGCACTTTTATCATGGATAGACGCACTTTTATCATGGATAGACGCACTTTTATCATGGATAGATGCACTTTTATCATGGATAGATGCACTTTTATGATGGACAGATGCACTTTTATCATGGATAGATGCACTTTTATGGACTTCAAAACAGAAACGTCCATTCACTGCCATTATAAAGCTTGGAAGAGCCAGGACATTTTTTAATATAACTCTGATTGTATTCGTCTGAAAGAAGAAAGTCATATACACCTAGGAGGCTTCAGGGTGAGTAAATCATGGGCTAATTTTCATTTTTGGGTGAACTATCCGTTTAACACCACCAGCACATATCACACCCATACAGGATCAGACTGCAGATGCTGAATGAGTTAATGAGTGTGACTCTTACCCCGGGAGCTTCCTCTATGATCTTCTGGTGTCGTCTCTGGACGCTACAGTCTCTCTCGAAAAGATAGACCGCATCACCACACTGATCTCCGAACACCTGGACCTCCACGTGTCTAACGCAACAACACACACACACACACACATCACACACATCGAACTATGGGAGTGACGCATACTGAATAAACCAAACAGACCTGGGGTTCTCCACAAACTTCTCGACCAGCATGACGTCGTCGTTGAAGGACTTGCGAGCCTCTCTCCGAGCGGACTCCAGCTGCTCCGGGAACTCTGCTTCCGAGTGTGCGGTTCGCATTCCCTGTGGGATCAAGCAGCGGTTTCAGACCAGCGTAACACTACACAATCCTTCAGTGAAAACACACGCCACCTTTCCTCCGCCGCCGCGCACTGCTTTGATCATCACAGGGTAACCAATCCTGGCCGCCTCGCTCTGAAGCCGCGCGTCTGATTGGTCCTCGCCATGGTAACCCTCAATGATTGGCACGCCTGCAGCTGACATGATGTGTTTAGATGTGCTAAAACACAACAAACAAAAATGTGGTTAGAAAAGCGCTGCTTCTGAAAGTTTAGCGTACTTTTTAAAATAGTACTTATTACAGAAATAATATACCTTAAAAGAATATATTAAGTGTGAACTGAATGTAATATTAAATGCAATTGGAGTGCTTTTGACCCATTTGAGCAGGACGTAAGAACATCTTCTTTACATGTAATTTCATAATTCTATATTGTCTTTGAAATACATTTAAAGCGTTGCTGACTAAGAATTTTTAGCATTATTTAGTATAATGTGATATTAAAAAGTAGATTTTTTATATATTTTAATATCATTTCTATTCAAATTTGTGCGTCATCTTTTTGTAAATACACATGTGTCATGATGAAGTTGTAATTTAGTAAATTTAAAATGCATTAACTTTAAAATGTATCATTGAATAAAACACAACAGATAAAATTATTACCAAGTAATTCACATTCTAGTACATTAAGCACTTCTTTAAAGCATGAAAAAGATTAAAACAATGAGTTAAAATGTACTTTACACTAAAACTTTTCTTTTAAGTTCACTTTTTAAAAGAGTACCTAAGTGTGTTCAGAAACAGTTTTGAGAGTGTACTTTACAAACACTTAAGCGGCATTTTTCAGTAGTATTATATTATCTTCAATTAGTTTTTAAAAATATACTTTTTAAGATTTGAAGTACACTACAAGTGCACATTCAACACAATTAAGCACACTTCTCTTTCACAAGAGCTTTTTCTAGGGTGCAGTTATTACACAGACACATCAAATATTTTTGCACATGTTATTATGATCATAAATAACTGTACCTTTTGATTCCCATGTCCCGAATGGCTGACGATGGTGGGCCGATGAAGATGATGCCTTCTTGTTTGCACAGTTCAGCAAACTCGGTATTTTCCGACAGGAAACCATATCCAGGATGGACCGCCTTACCAAAACAACAATAAAAAAAAGAGAGATTATCAAATGATATATACATATAATGAAAAATCTTGTTGAGAAAGGCATGTGTTGAGGTCAGCACACCTGTGCGCAGGATCTCTTGGCCACGTCCAGGATCTTCTCCATGCACAGGTAACTCTGCTGGGACGCCGCTGGCCCGATGTGATACGCCTCGTCCGCCTGAGTCACAGAGGACACCGCTGACATCACTACCGCTCAAACGCTTCGAGACATTACTACTGTCTCATGTGTTTGAAGGAGGTCTCTTCTGCTCACCCAGGCTGAATTTATTGAATACAAAAAGTATTCTCGTCGCTTGATAAACTTAAGGTTGAGCCACTGTAGTCACTCGGACTATTTTAACGATGTCTTTAATAACTTTTCTGGGCCGGCAAGTTTCAATTACAATAGAAGCCTATGGAGGAGTGATCCAGCTCTCAGATTTAATCAGAAATATCTTAATTTGTGTTCTGAAGATGAACGAAAGTCTTACGGGGTTGAACAACATGAGGGAGAGTAATTACTGGCAGAGTTTTCATTTTGGAGTGAACTAACCCTTTAAGGTATGAATAAAAAATGTTTTTAGGAAAAAAAAGCTTAAATATGTCATTTTGGTGATCAAAGATGAGTTTTAAGGGATACAATTGTTGACTACAGGGGGACTTTAAAGTGTATTATTTTCCGTGATAAGTAACTCCTCTTCTGATAAGGAAAATACATTTGAATTCAGAAATTAAAACTTAACTTATCATAGAACCGGTGTATTCAAGTCAATGTAAGAAATGTGAAAATTGCATTTTTTATTTTTGGAATCGCATATCATTGACGTTTGATCTATCTACCATCAAACACTTGTGAGGTGTGTGTGTAGTGTGTGTTAGTCCGCAGTGTTTGCCCACCATGGCCACATGCATGGCCTGTCTGTCTGCATCACTGTACACGGCCACAGAGCGGACACCCATCTTCCTCGCCGTCCGCATCACACGGCACGCGATCTCCCCTCTGTTAGCAATGAGGACCTTCTCAATCCGGCCTGTGAGAGAGAAACACCACTGTAAATAATAATCATAATCATAATAATCATAATAACTGCATCCCGGGTCTCTTACCCACAGATGCATGTCTGAAGGATCCTCTGGTCCAGATCAGAGTCCTGCAGTCAAGAGAGCAAGAGATCATGAGCACTGGGCGTGTGTAGTAAACAGTGTCAAGGGCAAACACATCTGCAGAGGTCATGACCTCTCCGTTTAAGGTCAAACATGCAGATCTATCACTTCATAACACAGCAAAACATCACACACACATATATTCATAACTGTTCACTATAAGCTCATCTTCAGTCACCTTGCACAAAATACACATTCATAAACAAAGTTATTTTTGACCCATATTTATAATTTAGACAAAGATATTAGTCCAATGAATGTCGAAGGTCCGAATGCATTAGTTTAAAAGAGAAATGTAATGTTAGCTAAAGTTTGAATGTCATACTTCTCGACTGATGCAGACACTGAACTCTGAACACAGACAACTTTAACGAACACCTATATTTGTTCTTTAAACGATATAATAAAGTAGCTTGAGACTTACAGCAGATGTTTGTTTATATCTCTGTTGATATGAGTTTTCAGAAACACTGCAGCCATGTTTACTGTGTTAGCGAATGACAAGTGTAACTAACAGTTACTCGACTCCTGCCCCAAAACAGCGCATTGATTTAATATATTTCATGAGTTTTACAGCGCCATTATCATAACATTCATGGATTACTTCCAAACATTTATACTCTGTGTAACTAATCCGTGTGAAATGGCATTTAAACGATCATATAAATGGTGCTACGTGTAGCGGCAGCAATAGCGAACACATTAAGTTTGTTCTCTTTAGGTTCCCGTACTGACAGCAACCAATCAGAAGAGAGAGATTGGAGGCGGGGACTGACGTATTTGTAGGGATTATGGGATATGAAGTTAAAACAAAAAGAGGTTTCACTTAATATAGGCTTACTTGACAGCATAATGAATTTATATTCAAGAATATTCATTCAATATATATATATTATAACATAATAGAATGGCTTTAAATATTTCGTGAATATAAATTCATATATATGTACACAAAAAAACAATGTTTTATTTATTTATTTATTCTAATTTATTTATTTTATCCTCATCTCACACATCATAGATCTACACTTACTTTTGCAACAAGACAAATTCTATATAATGTATTTATTTAATAAAATACATATGTGATACATATCACCTTATATGTGAAATGTGGAAGCAAAATGGCTAAACAAAAAAACTTATACAGCCATATTATCTTTGCAAGCCTGTTTTTTAAAAATGTATAATTAGCAAACAAACATTATAATTCTTGTTCAGAGTAATAAACATACTGATTGAAGATTAAAAGATAAAATAAAATAAAAAATGGTTGCACAACTGTCCCGTAGGTGGCGATATGCACTAAGAATGAAACACGCAGGGACAGTGACGTTTGTATGCAATTTCCCGCGAAATCCGTCCCGACGTCTATGACATATAAGGCTGCGTTAGTTTGGGTAAAGTATGTTCAACTATATTCTGTTCTGTTAAATAATAATGGGTACATTTAGTATTAGTATTAAGAAAGTAGTTTTACTGTATAGACAAGCCTTAAAGTCTTACGAGTTGTCATAAAAATGTTGTCACACTAATATGTGTTGTCACATTTCAACAAGGGTTGTTGAAAATACTGGGATACATTCTGTCAATTAATTCTCTCAGGTAATTATTCTCCTGTTGAGGCTTCATAATTAAGCAACATCAATTGTAACTTATTGAAAAATCAGCATTTTTCCCCCCATGGCATTTTACAAAGAGTATAAATGCATTTTGACACGACCCAAAATCTCCAGACATCAGAATGAAAAAGTGACGTTTGCATTACAATGAACACATCGACAACAGCAGTTCATGTCACTCGTATTTTAATTGTTTACAGAGATCATTTAAAACGGTAAAGCGATATCCACACACTGTAAAACAATGAAATCTCCTGATTGGTCTCTGCTCTAGAGCTGTTCGTATCCTCGGCCCCGGCGCTCCCGCACCAGCACATACGTCAGGACTGCGATCAGGCAAACGGCGGCAGCGACGGCCCCCAGGACAATCGGGATCATGCGTTTGTTGTAATCCGCCCAGCACTCAACCTCTGAAATGAAGTCACGATAAACCCTCTTGCTCTTGGGGAAACAGGTTGATAGAATATAATACGTTTGATTAAATGTGAATTATATTGACCTTTCCCGAAGGCTCCAGTGGCGAGGTCGAAGGCCTGGATCTGCAGCGGCACCAGTTTGAGTCTCAGGTTGTTGGACAGGATCAGAGTCGTCTCAGACTTGCACTGGAAGCTCAGGCCATTTTTTGCTAAGAATAGCTTCTCGTGATCCACGATTCCAATGTAGGTTTTATCTGTGGATTAAATTTGGAAAATGTTGTTAAGCTTAGTGGTAATAATCATGCTCATAGTTTAGGAAAATTCTCCTAAAACAACAATGATTAGTCTTACGGAAACTGACAAGAGCGATACCTGAGTCACATTTAACACCAAAATCAAAAGAAAGAAATGAGGCACATTATGATATTTTCATGAAAATTAAGTTTTTTTTTGGACCAAATCCTTATTTTGTATGTGTGTATATATATACCTTTTTTTTTTCTTTTCTTTTTCAGTGTGAAATATGACCTGACATGTTTTTGCAACACTCACTCTTAGGCTATGTTTACACGGAAACGATCTGAAGAGAAAACGCAAAAGTGGCGTTGCGTTGTCACTTTTTATTCTGCGTTTAGACGAGCGTTATGGGTGGGAAATCCGCGTGCATATGGTGACGCTAAAGTGTGTGAAATTCGATGTAGTGTGCTCTCCAGGCGGCTAGGTGGCAATGTGAAGCACTGCCACACAACAACACCAATATCTTAGAATATTCTGTACAACTGCTGAAAAGACTCTTGTATGTTTTTCAGAGCTGCTAGGGCAACTTGAAGGTCCGACGTATGGAAATAATCTGACATGTTGGTTGTTATTTTCCTGTACTAGCGCATGCCTGTGACGTAAACGCGTACGCGACGAGAGCCACCGTGAGCAGATTTGCGTTTTTACCGTTTAGACGGGAACGCGGCGGTGGAGCGTTTTTAAGATTTCCACTCTGGAGGGTGGTTTCACTTTTTTGCGTTTTTAAGCCCCCAAAACGCCGTTGCCGTGTAAACGAAAGGCACATCCGATAAAATCTTTTTACGTTTTCACCCGGAATCGTTCTCGTGTAAACGGGGCCTTAGGGTCCGTTTACACGACACTGTTTTCAACTAAAACCGTAAAAACTTTTTATATGTGTTTTGGTCGTTCATTTACACAACGACATTTTGAAGGCCTGAAAACACAAACTTTTGCAAGTTTTGAAAACGATACGGTTATCGTCTCTGTGTAAACTACAAAAACATGAATCTGTGAAAACGCTGACGTCATGCGCACGTGTATCACGTGTTCAGTCTATAGGCGCGCGGTGTTTCTGAACAAAGTGACGTCGCCACCTAGTGGCCTGGCATGAATAATACAGCGTTTTTAGTCGTTTTCACGGATTCGTGTGATCGGGGACCGGTTTGACAACGTTGTCGTCTGTACGCAAAAAACGCAAAGGAAAAACATTTCCATTTCTAGTACATTGTTGTCATTTAAACGTACCCGTGTTATGAATATATTGTATGCTTAATTTCACGATAAGTGCACGATTAAGTGCACAAAAAGGGAGCCCTAATAAAAAGTTTTACATTTTTAATTGGAAAACAATGTTGTGTAAAGGGCTGTTCCTGATGTTTTCTATCAGTGTAATTTATACTTACTCTGGCAATTTTTACAAGTGGGAGCAGGGATCAGAAGACCTGTGATAGTCTTCACATAGGAGACATCGCCTTCCTGCAAGGGTGGCGAAATACTGAATTGCATGTTGATTAAGGCTATGTTTTGCGCATATTTATCCTCAAGAGAAACGTGTCATAAATGCATACAGATGATACTGTAGGTACCTTGATGAAAGTGAACTCCAGATTTCCACCAGGAAAACTCAATGAGAGAACAGACTTCTGGTTCCTACAGTATCCCGAGGCTTGTGTCGAGCTGGGGTCCAGGTTGAAATAGTACTTCTTCTGCAATACAAGTTAAGCAATGTGATTAATGGAGGCTGGAAATCAAAATCCTATAAATGAACAATATCAAAAGTATTGGGATCTAAAGATCAAGACACACAAATTGGGTTTGACTGACTGGAAGGAATAGATTTTGTAGAATTTCAGCAGAAAATTTCAAGTCATATTTTCAACATTTACCCCTTTACTGAATGCATGTACATAGAGAAAAAGATATTGGTTGAAAACTTGGTAAAGAAAATTGTGAAATTTGGCCAACTGGCTGTTCTAGAGACCCCAAACCTGGCATTTAGGCTACATGAACAAACACGATATACAACTGGAAGTAAATAAATGTAAGCTGATTAATAATATCTCCAAATTCAGTTCATTTGAAATGTATCTCTTGTGAAAAAAAGTACACTTAAGCTCACTTTTAAATAATATACTTAAGTGTGAACTAAGAGTAAAGTTAAATTAAAATGTATTATATATTATGTATTATTTATATTAAATGTAATTAGCTGAACTTTAGAGTGTTTTTGACCCACTTAAGTACATCTTAAGTAATATAGGCCTACTTAAAACTTGTAATTTGTTTTGATGAATCTGGAATTTAGAACATTTAAAGTATTAACTTGTAATATATATATATATTTTATAATATATTGTTGCTTTACCCCCAAATGCTATTACTCCCATATTCATACGTTAAAGTTAATAGTATATTAATAATTAGCAATTATTTTTAAGTTGATTAAAAACAATGTGATCTGAAAGTAAAGTTAAACTAAAATGTATTACAATTTAAATTGATATCATATGTAATTAGCTGAACTTTAGAGTGTTTTTGACCAACTTAAATACATCTTAAGTAATATACTTTAATAATAACTTGATAATAACTCAATGATGAAGCTGGAATTTAGTAAATTTAATTATATTTACTTATATATATTCTATTATATTATAGCTATTATTATATATATATAGTAGTTAACATGAATCAACAAAGTTCAAAGTTCTCAAGAACGGGTATTGTTCAAAATTCATATATAACTTTGATGAAAGGTTTTGATCCACTTCAAATGTTGACTACTGTATATATAATATAATATATTGTTGCTTTATTACTCCCAAATGGTGCATATTCATATGTTAAGCTCCAAAGTTGGACTCTTAATGAAACGGTCCCAGTTGAAAGCTGTTGTGCCCAAACCCCTTGGTTCCCCTTCTGCTCGTATAGCTGTCTGACAGTGGAGTGAGCCGTTGCCAGAGTTAGTGGTGAACCGAGTGAGTTCTCACCCCGAGAGGAATATGCTGAGGGCTGGAATAAAACTGCTGAGAGCATAACAAGCTTACTTTGTTCTCTCTCACCACATACTCCCCTCCCAAACTGGCCCGCACACACACTTGTCCTTTGAGGTTCTTGAGTGTGTAGGTGAACTGAGGCGGGGCCGTTTCTTTGGGCTGCAGGACGGGTCTCTTGGGAGCATCTCTGCTGTTGACGGCAGGATCTCCATCGCTGGAAGCTGCTGCTGAGTTTAAAAGGTCAAGAGAGTTTGAGGCTAGAGAGCTTCCTGTAAGCACAACGCAACGGGGGGCTTCAAAACGCACCACTCGTGAAGAAGTGTTAACCAACACAGAGGCATCACATGCAACTACGGATGCTGCAAAATCAACTCGGTGTTGCTTTCTGAACAATAACACCACAGCTCGTTTCTAATAGTTTACAATTCTGAAAATGTTTTCTCATTGTAAATCACAAGTTTGTGGAATAATTAGATTCAAATGAAATGCAAATCGACTCACCTAGCCAATGCAGGGAAGACAGCATGAGAAGCAGAGCGATGGGTCGGCGTGTGCGAGTCATGTTGCGAGCGTGGTTGTTGGGTGGCAGAGCAGATGCTGTTGTAGATTCGGCTTTTAACTAATGCCCATGTGGTTGTGAAGGAGGACCCTTAAGCCTCAATGCTGTCAGCAATTGTCTGACAACAGGAAGCATTTTAGCCAAACCCACAATTAGTACAAGTAATGATATGAGTAATGACTCTGTGTAGTTTAATTATTAAATTTGAGTTTTGGGGAATCTAGACGACTGTGCGATGAAAAGCAGGAGCACGCTTGTAGAGTCGGGTCTGGGCGGGGCTGGTGCCAGTTGTGGAGTCTGACCCAAAATTTAGGACAACATTGTGTCACTCATGCTTTTTTTTTGTAGAAACATGCATTTAATGCCTCAGATGGTTCAATGTCACAGCAAGCATCACTCACATTTCCTTAAAACGATTAAAAATGTAGCTGTTTTTCATTCAATTACCAACAACTTTTCATTCAAATAAGTTGAGTGTATGCAAGCATTTAAAAACTTCCACAACTATTAGCAACTTTATTAAAAGGATAGTTCACCCAAAAATGTTGTCATCATTTCCTCAGCCTCATGTTGTTCCAAACCTGTATGCGTTTCTTTCTTCTGTTGAACACAAAAGAAGATATGTTGAGGAATGTCGGTAACTAGAAAGTTGCTGGACCCCACTGACTTTCATAGTAGGAAAAAAAATACAATGGAAGTCAATGGGGTCCAGCAACTGTCTGGAGCAACATGAGGGTGAGTAAAGGATGACAATTTTCATTTTTGGGGGGTGAACTATCCCTTTAACTGTTAAACTATGCATGTTCATCTGCAGCTAACTGAAAAAAACATGAGCAAATTTATAAGCAAATTTCTTAAACACTGGAGATACAAATGTTTTGTCATTTTTGACTTTTGTAAGGTGTGAACGATGTGCAGATTGCCCAGACAAGTCTGTTCACACTTTATGTGCTCTGTTCACTTTTTTTACTTCCCTTCCCACTTTAGTTGGCGGCTCTTCTTTTTCTTTTTTTTCTTTTTTTGCCTTTTGTGTGTTCAAGTTTCTTGTGTTTTTATTTTAAACATTTTAGAAAAAACTGAAAATGAGAAGGTGCAATCCATGTTGTAGCATAATTTTGAAAAATGTGGATGACATTATCTTACCAATAATTACTACATTTATGGATGAATGATGTGAAACTATTTTACTGTCAAGTTTATTACTCAAAAATGCATTATATATGCAAATCATTCAAAAACCTTTTAAATTTCTGAATAAAAAAGTTTAGGTTTTTTTGTGGTGCAATGTACAAAATATTGTTTGTAAAATTAAAAACTTTCCAACATGCATGCAGGTAGTCTTTTTGATGCCAAAAATGCTTGGTTGAACCTTTTTAACCTCTTGTTTTTATGCTAGGGCAGCACAATATTGGGAAAAGAAAAACTGACATTGCAATGTTTTGTCTTTCTGCAATATATTGCAATACGAAAGTAATTTCACCAAATGATTGAATAGCTCTGCTTGGAAAGAATTAATCCTTCTAGAATGATTGGGGTGATTTTGTAGGGGAGTGAATATGCAAACAATAAAAAAAAAAAATGCAAGCATTGATAAATACAATAGAACAAAGATACAGATGAAATAAACAGTGCTTTATGTTTTTCAGGTAAGTCTAACAGTATTCAGGTACAGAATTTGAAAAATCAAATGTAAAATAACACTGTAGTCTTCATTGTATAAATTAAATGGCTATAATTAATCTTTGTTAAAACTACAAAAGTGATTTTCTTTTTTTCTTTTGTTGTTTGATTCACATTAATGACCGAGACAGCTGTGGGTATAAGGCTGCTGTCAAGTCAAGTCAAGTCATCTTCATTTATATAGCGCTTTTAACAATGGAGATTGTTTCAAAGCAGCTTTACAGAGATAAACATACAATTTACGGTAACAGAGATTGTTTTGGCTTTATAGCGATTTTTGAATAATGTTATTTCCAGCTAAAGTTGGTTTTGATTGATTCATTTCCAGCAAAATTATCATTTGTTATTACATTAGGGGCCACTAAGACGACGGCGTTCTCTCTAAACAGACTTTAAACGCGAACCTGTGACCTGATGGCGTTCACATGCGCATTAAAGATTGATTCTATAGTTATATTCGTTTGAATATATGTGCGCAGGTTTGTAATTTCCCTACAAACCATGCCTAAACAAAATACTTGTCTTGCCTATAAATTTGATACAGAATTTTATTTTATCACTTCGAGGTACGCGAACCGGATTTCAACAACGCTTTATCTGTAGAGTGGGAAAGGGATCCTCCATAGGGAGAGGATAGTTGACACTTCAGCACTGCATTGTCATCGGGTCCAGGCGAATCTCCCTCATCAGATCTGGATACGGCCTGGATCCGGCAGGCTGCAGGAAAACCTCGGGATAAACAAGACACTAAAGTTAGCGTAGATGTCATTCTTCTTATGATGTAACGAGTACATCTGGATTTAAGGGAAGTGTTCCCAGTTCCGGCTGACCTAATCTATGCAGCCTAACATTGAATTATCGAAGTCTATAATGTATTATGTGTATGCTAGGTCAAAGAGATGTGTTTTTAGTCTAGCTTTGAACTGACAGAGTGTGTCTGCTTCCCGGACAATGGTAGGAAGACTATTCCAAAGTTTTGGTGCTAAATAGGAAAAGGATCTACCGCCAGCAGTCGATTTTGATATTCTAGGTATTATCAACTGGCCGGAATTTTTAGATCGCAATAGACGTGAAGGACTATAATGCTTTAAAAGCTCACTCAAGTACTGCGGAGCTAAACCATTTAGTGCTTTGTAAGTAATCAACAATATTTTAAAATTTATACGATGTTTAATAGGCAGCCAATGCAGTGTTGACAGAACCGGGCTAATATGGTCATACCTCCTGGTTCTGGTAAGAACTCGAGCTGCTGCGTTTTGAACTAGCTGTAGTTTATTTATTAAGCGTGCAGGGCAACCACCCAGTAGAGCATTACAATAATCTAGCCTTGAGGTCATGAACGCATGAACTAATTGTTCTGCATTTGTTAATGAGAGCATATGGCGTAATTTAGATATATTTTTAAGATGGAAAAATGCGGTTTTACAGATACTAGACACGTGGCTTTCAAATGAGAGATTGCTATCAAAGAGCACACCCAGGTTCCTAACCAACGACGAAGACTTGACAGAGCAGCCATCAAGTGTTAGACAGTATTCTGGGTTATTACGTGTGGAAGTTTTTTGTCCAATAATTAGAATCTCTGTTTTTTCAGAATTTAGTAGTAGGAAATTACTAGTCATCCAATTTTTTTATATCGGCTATGCATTCCGTTAATTTTGTAAATTGGTAAGTTTCGTCGGGGCGTGAAGAAATATACAGCTGAGTATCATCGGCATAACAGTGAAAACTAATTCCATGTTCCCTAATGATATCTCCTAATGGTAGCATGTACAGAGTGAACAGCAACGGTCCTAGTACTGAGCCTTGTGGTACGCCATACTGAACTTGTGATCGAAAAGACATATCTTCATTTACTGCTACAAACTGATAACGGTCAGATAAGTATGATTTAAACCATGCTAGTGCAACTCCACTAATGCCAACATAATTTTCGAGTCTATTTAAAAGAATGTTGTGGTCAATAGTATCAAATGCAGCACTAAGATCGAATAACACTAATAGAGAGATACAACCACGATCGGATGATAAGAGCAAATCATTTGTGACTCTGATGAGAGCGGTCTCGGTACTATGGTACGGTCTGAATCCTGACTGAAAATCCTCGCAGATATCATTTCTTTCTAGAAAGGAGCACAGTTGTGAGGATTCTGCTTTTTCTAATATCTTTGATAGAAAAGGCAGATTCGAGATCGGCCTGTAATTGACTAATTTTGTATGATCAAGTTGCGGTTTTTTAACAAGCGGTTTTATCATAGCCAGCTTAAAGGTTTTTGGTACGTATCCTAGAGACAAAGACGAATTAATGATAGTAAGAAGAGGATCTATGACCTCTGGAAGCATCTCTTTCAGTAGCTTAGTCGGTATAGGGTCTAACATACATGTTGTCGATTTAGATGATTTAACGAGTTTAGAAAATTCGTCCTCTCCTATGGCAACAAATGAATCAAATTTTTCCTCAGGGAGACTACAATGCACTCCCTGATGCGATACTGTGGTAGACGGTTGCATATAATTTTGTCCCTGATATTATCAATCTTATAAGTAAAGAAGTTCATAAAGTCATCACTGCTGTGTTGCTTGGACACTTCTGGGGTTGAAGCTTTCTTTTTCGTTAGTTTAGCTACTGTTTCAAATAAATACCTAGGATTATATTTATTTTCTTCTAATAGGGTTGAAAAATAAGCAGATCTAGCAGCTTTTAAAGCCTCTCTGTAAGCAATCGAGCTCTCTTTTCATGAAATCCGAAACACCTCTAGTTTAGTTTTCTTCCAGTTTCGCTCCATTTTTCTGGCTGCTCTCTTAAGGGCCTGGGTGTGCTCGTTGTACCACGGTGTTGGACTATTTTCTTTAATCTTCTTTAAGCGCAATGGAGCAACTGCGTCTAAAGTCCTGGAAAAGAGAGAGTTAAAAGTTTCTGTTGCAATATCGAGTTCTTCTAAGCTATCTGGGATGCTGAGATGATGAAACTGATTAGGAAGATTATTGATAAAGCAATCTTTAGTGGCAGAAGTTATAGGTCTAACGTATTTATAACACGGAGTCGGCTTTGCAGCCTTGGCTAAATGTAATTTACATGAGACTAGATAATGAACTGAGATGTCATCGCTCTGCTCCAGAATTTCAATGGCATCAATATCTATTCCATGTGATAATATTAGATCTAGAGTATGATTACGACAATGAGTAGGTCCTGACACGTGTTGTCTAACTCCAATTGAGTTTACAATGTCTTTAAATGCCAATCCCAAAGCATCTTTTTCATTATCTACATGTATATTAAAATCACCAACAATTAGTACTTTATCTGCAGCCAATACTAAATCTGATAGAAAGTCCGCAAATTATTTGATAAAATCTTTATGGTGCCCTGGTGGCCTGTACACAGTAG